GTGGCCTAGTGGTTAGAATTCCAGGCTTTTGCTGCCAGGGCCCAGGTTCAATACCTGGTCGGGGAACTAAGATCCTGCAGGCCATGTGGCCAAAAGAAAAAAGAATTGACCCATCAATAAAGTGATTTTCAAAGTAAAGCTTGCAAAAATAAGCCTGAAATCTACTTCTCTGCTCACCTCTAAAGATTAGTCTAGCGCTCTTTGCCAGAGAAACTGGAATCTAATTGCAAAATTTAAATGTACTCCAATATCACTTCACGTTAAGTAACACACTCTGTCCATTGTTAATCCTCCTACAGTTAAGATATATGAATCTACTAGATATTAAAAGGTATGACAGAGTTAAATAACACTTCATTTTAAAACTAACTTGGGTAAGGCTTTAAGAATACTTTTAAAATATTTGACTTCTGAACCTTGTATATGGTTTATATGGCCTTCCCTGGCAGTTCAGCTGGCAAAGAATCTGTCTGCAATGCAAGAGACCTCTGTTTAATAACTGGGTCGGGAAGACCCTCTGGAGAAGGGACAGGCTCCCCACTCCAGTATTCTTGGGCTTCCCTGGTGGCTCAGATGGTGAAGAATCTGCCTGAATGGTCATTGCAGCAAAAAGAAAATAAAAAAAAGAATCTGCCTGCATTGTGGGAACTGGGTTCAATCCCTGGGTTGGCAAGATCCCCTGGAGGAGGGTATGGCAACCCACACCAGTATTCTTGCCTGGAAAATCCCCATGGACAAGTCCCCCTGGCAGGCTATAGGCCAGGGGGTCACAAAGAGTCAGACATGATGGAGCGACTAAGCATGTATAATTTATACATTCAAAAATAAAATTTAAAAAGGGAATCCTTCTACACTGTTGCTGGGAAGGTAAACTAGTGCAGCCACTATAGAGAACAGTATGGAGGTTCCTTAAAAAATTAAAAACAGAGCTACCAAATGATCCTGCAATCCCACTCCTGGGCATGTATCTGTGTTCAACATAGCACTATTTACAACAGCCAACACAAGGAAGCAACCTAAATGACCATCGACAGGTAAACGGATAAAGAAGATGTGGTATGTGGACACACAATGGAATATTACTCAACCATAAAAATGAATGCAATAATGCCATGAACCTAGAGATTATCATACTAAAGGAAGTAAAACAGAGAAAGACAAATATCATATATCACTTATATGTGGAATCTAAAAAAAGTGAACTTATTTACAAAACAGAAACAGACTCACAAAAAGCAAACGAAACTTATGGCTGCCAAATCGGGGAGGAAATTAGGGGTTTGGGATTAACAGATACACACTACTGAATATAAAATAAGCAACAAGGACCTACTGTATGATATAGGAAACTATATCCAATATCTTGTAATAACCTATAAAGGAAAAGAATTTGAAAAAGAATATATATATATGTGAATCACTTTGCTGTACACCTGAAACTAACATGTTTTAAATCAACTATACTTCAATAAAGAGTTGTTTCTTTTGGGAAAAATAAAAAGAAAACCATAAAATAACAAATGGAACCAATGAACCATAACAAATTGGCAGCATAACCAGAGCAAGTACTTCAAGTGACTTCTGAACACAGTAAATATAAATACTCTGATTACACAGCCTTCATGCAATATGTTCTAATAACAAAAATAAATGCAAAGAAATCTTAAAACTTTACTCAGAAGTTTACTGCTAGTAGTGATATTGGTAAAATATTGAAATGATTTTAAGTATATATAGTAGGATACTGCAAGTATATTCATTTTATTAGTAACTAAGATTTTCGTTTAAGACGAGAGACAAATACAGAATCAAAAAAAAGAAAAACCTGCTATGTTAAATTTGAATTGGATATATCGCTATGAACTTGCTTAAACAAACAAGTAAAACACCATTTTTTGTTCTCCCCTCTCAAAGGGCCTAGACGCAGTGACGCTCCAGCAGCAATGAATATGCCAAACAGTCAGATCCTAGTTTCCATACACCATTTCTCACTAAAAAAAGAGTCAAGACTTCTTGGATGAAAAGCCCATTCCTGATCTGGAACAAGGAAAGTAACAAGGTAAGCCTGGGATATACTGCACCAGAGAGCATTCCAAGACTAATGGTGAGCAGGAGCATTAAAAAGACACAGGAACCAACTTGAAAGGGTTTTACTGTCCAAATTTGGGACAGTTTGAGCATCAAAAAGAAAAATAACTGTAATGGTTATATATATTAAAAGAAGATTAAAATTCATCTGTCCATAGTATTCCCACAAAAAAGGAGAAAAAAAAATTCTGATTTGCCACCATTATGCAATGCACGCAGTGGGGGTGACTAACTCTCCAACTCTTTACCCTGAATGTTAGTAACTAAAGGGAGGACATTAACATTTTTAGGAGAAAGTTCAGTTCACTTCTAGTTAATGAAAGAAATCTTGACAGAAAATCTCCAATAAAATAACTGATTGAAGCAAGAGTCATTGATGGATGCTATCAAAGACCAAAAGGTACCCAGAAACAGGTTGTTTGGGGTCAAGATATTACCCCAAGATCATATACAAATCACAAACAGGCAAACCAAGCCTTTATAGTAAATCTGGTAGTTACCACTTTGAGCAAGTGGTCACATTTGGTATCCTTAATAGTGTAGCATGATGTAACATAAAAGTACATAGGTACATAGCATCATCTATGAAATATTCTTGCCAAATACAAGTTTTCCTTAAACTAATCTAGCTTTTCTTTAGACCTAACTTCCAGTAACAGGAAAATTAGGAGGACAGAGGATTACATTAAATGACACCATTAGGAAATGAATAAATCCTAAAATTGGGAGCACTCTTATAAAGCAAGTGGTTTGTTTCATTGGCAGAATGAAAGGAGATGGGTACTGGTCTTCTTAAAAAAAGGATCCAAGGCATAATTAACAAAGACAATGTGTGAATCTTAACTGAATACAGCTGGGGGGTGGGGTGGGGGTGGATTTCCCAAAGAGACCCCAGATATTTGCATATGGATTGCTAATTTAGAAAAGTGTTGATAATGATATTGGGGTCAGTATAACCGTAGGAGGAAATACTGGAGTGTCCCGGTGTTTGCAATTTACTTTCAAGTGATTACACACAGAAAGGGGGGAACAACATGGCAGAAATGTCAATCACAGAACCTAGGTACTGGAATAGTCATTGAAATTTTTCCTCAATTTCAAAGAGACTGATTATTTTTCATAAATAAGTGTTAAAAAAAAATGATGTACCTTTACTGAAGGTACAGTAGAAAACACACCTACACTGGAAACATATCTGGGTATAAATCTCACCTTTATCACTAGTTGTGTGGCCTAAAGCAAGTTACTTAACATTACTTAAGTTTGTCTCACCTGTAAAACTCAAGTAATAATATCTAAAGCAATAAGGTGGTCCGCAAAACAAAACAAAAAAGGAAAAAGGTCCCAACAATAAATAAAGCAAAAAACGGAAAAAAAAAAAACAAAAAAAAAAAATCCCCTCAATAACGCCAAAATCCAAGAATAAGAAACTACACCAGGTAAAATTAAATATTCATTGGCAGTCAAAGGGAAGTACTGGGAGTAACATTATACATGAAGATTTACACAGTATTGTTTTAAATGCAGTAATTCCAACTGAAACCCTCTAGACAAAAAAAATCTACCTATCCAAACTATTAGTAGCTCTCAAATTGTGAAGTCTGCTTTTGGTATTAGTCTCTATCCGAATAAAACAGTAAGAAAATAAGTGGAAGTTAGAATGTCTTCTGGACCAAAATCTATAATTCACTTACCTGCCGAAAAACATGTAAGCTTCGGCCTTCATTTCTATAATTAAGTTCCAATAAGGCACACCATTATTAGGCTTTATTCTAAATTTTGGTTAAGCTTCAAACCACTAACAAGCATGCAGTTTCCTTCTAACGTACTCATCATTTCACTCACAGGTAACCCTTTTCTGGTTAGGCCAGCAGAAAACGCCTAGATGCAGACTGTGCCCCAGGTAGGGAAGAAAAAAGGTTTTCGTTTTTTAAATAAATGCCACCCCTTTCTTTCCAATACCAAAGAAAAAGAAGCGGGGGCGGGGGGGGGAGAGACTGTATTTCGGCTCGACCAGGTGAAACGCTAGCACCCCGCCTCCTCGGGGTCAGGGTGCTGAACACACGCGCGCGCGGTCGAGGGGCGCCCTGGGAGATCGGGGCAATTTCTCCCAGACGGCGGGACGCAGGGCCAATCTCCTCCCAGAAGGCTTAGACGCCTTTGAGGGGAACCTGCGGGGTGTCTCCCGGGGCGGATGGGGGTGACGAGACTCGGCGTTCCCTTCCGCCCAGCACCCAGATGGGGGACCGCCCGAGGGCGCGGGCGGCGAGGAGGGGCCGGCCTTGCCCTCCCTTCCCGGTTACCTGCGGGCGGCGGTGCCGGGGGCCGGAGGCCTGCTGCTCCTCCTCCTCCTCCCCGCCAGGCTGAGGCGGCGAGGTGGCGGCGGCGGCGGCGGCGGCCCGGGGGGAGGGGGCGGAGCGCGCGGCCCGCTGCCTCTCTCCTCCCCCGGGAGGCGGAGGGGACCCTATCTCGGGCCGCCGCGCCTAGGCCCGTGGACAGCCTGCGGCAGGGGCATGGCAGCCCCCAACGGCGGCGAGCCTGCGAGGTGCGAGAGTGCGAGGCGGAGGGAGGGGAGCGCTCCGGGGGCCCGAGGGGAGGAGCGAGGGGGCCCGGCGAGCCACGCGCAGGCGGCCGTTGGGGGCGGTTGGCCGAGGGCAGGCGGCGGTTTAGGGAGCGCGGCGACGGCTCGCGTTTTCCCGGCGGGGCGGGGTGGGGAAGGGGAAGGGGAGTGAGGGGGAGGGAGGGGGAGGTTGGGAGGGAGCCGCCGCCGCGCGCGTGCGGGCCGGCGCCGCCGCCGTTGCCGCTCGGCTCACTCCAGCCTGTTTGGGGGCACTTTGTTTGTGTCCCACAATGCTCTGCGCGGGCGGCCGGGCTGGGGAAGGGGAGGGCAAGTGGGCGGGGCGCGAGCGAGCTTGGGGGCGGGGCGCGAGCGAGAGGCGGGGGAGACGCGGGTACTGCGCAAGCGCAGAGAAGGCCGCTCCCGGTAGCCGTTACTTTAACCGTCTGCGACTCAGTCTCCTGAGGCCGCGGCGGGTTCTGATACGGCCGGTGCATCTTCATAAGTGCCGAGTTACCTTCACCCGCCACCTGCGCCCTGGCCAATTCGTCCTTCCTGTGCTCGTTCGCTTAGCCGGCTTCTCGCTCAACCTGACAAGCATTTCTGGGCAAGGTTCACAGCTATTGGGTTTTTTTTTTTTTTCCTTCTTTGAAGTAAAACCGAAACAGACTTTGTTTTCTCGAGTGGTTTCTGTAGCGGCGCTGAGCCGGAACACCCCAGCCGCTTTCTCTCGGTGAGGGGGTGAGCTCGTAGTCAGCCCATTTCTCACACACGGAAACTGAGGCCTGCGGAGAGGCGGCCCCAGACAGGTGAGGACGTCGAGCCCCGCCGGCTACCGCGCCCGACCGGGTTCCGGCCCCCTGCGGCCTCGGCGCCTGGGGTTGTTCTAGAAAGTCCCCCGGCCGCCTGGCGGGACATCCGGCTCTGAAATGGGTGGCGAGATTCACCTTGTTCCCCCAACACGAGGGCACCTAGAGCCGCCCCCTATGTAGGCCTGTTGCTTCCACACCTGGAGCCTCCTTGGGTTCCACCTCCACTAACCTGACTTTCCGACGAGGGCGTGTTCGGGACGCCCCGAAGTGATCAGTTCTGCCGGGGGCTCGAGAGTTCTCGGTCACCTGTCGAATCGCGCTCAGGGTTAGAGCTCTCGAGACCCTAAGCCTTACCGTCCCCAGGCATGGTGGGGGAGGAAGGGCGCCCCAGGCAAGCGGAGGGCTGCGCGGGGGCGGAGAGGCTGCGGCTTGCGACTCACGAGGCGCCCCGCATCTGCATACATCGTTTTCCCACGCCCCCGGCTCTTGCACCGAAAGACCACCAAAAGGCTACGTGCAAGGTGGGCTTGACGTCCCTTTTGAAGCAGAGTGGCGTTTTCTTCTGAAACGCTTGGCAAGGGCATTAATCTACCTGAGAGAACAGCACCCTGGTACCCACCCATTCCAACTACTGAAATATACTTTAGAAATAAAGGCCAGAAAACAATATCTAACTTTATAGTGTTTTGCGGTTTCCAACAGATTTTCAAGTATATATAATGTTTAATCCTCACAGCAATTGTAATAGGTTAAGTTTTACTGTTACTCCCACTATAGTGTTTATTATTCCCGTTTCAGAGATGAGGAAAGTCAGGAAGATGCAAATGAGGCCCAGAAAGTTTTGTGCTGAGATTTGAAGGAGAAGGAAAAGAAGGCGAAATGCTTACCCTTAGAGGAACAGCAGCAACAGAGAAAGTCTGAAGGAAGGGCAGGAGCCTGAAGTCCTGGTGGCCCTTATGTTAGGGTAGGTGTGCGACTTAGTACCTGGAGAAGAATCGGGTGGGAATAAAGCTGTCAAACAAATCCCCTCGACTTCTAGGGCATTTAATAGGACAGTCAATAAGGACCACTAGGCAAGTGTTTGTGTTTACTGCTTCCCTGGGAACTGAGGAGGCAGCCCTGACACAAAATATATATTACTCTCTTGTATCTTCTCCCCTTTTATACTTTTCTATTTTTGATTTTATGTTTGAAAATTATCATTCTTTCACCCCCACCCTAGGACTGGAGGATCAGTGGATCTTTGGGGATACCGGATAGCTGTGGAACCCTAAGGGCCCGGTGCTAGATGCTTGGATAGGGTGTGAGAAAAAATACAAAGGTTAGCTTTGGAGGAGTCCTCTCCTCTTTTTTGGCTTTTGGCAGGGTCAGTTTCTGTGGCTTCTGCGCCTCCCAGCTTCTTGGGCTAGTAGAGACTTGCCCTTGGGTTGGTGGAATATACACACATTTCTTTGACACTAGATTAAATAATACAGCTGGGAGGATTTTATGAAATCAGAATCCTGCACACAGGTGAAACAAACAAAGGAAGACAGTATGAGGAACCTTTAATTATTAACCTGGTGTGGGTGATTCTGAGGAATTCAAATTCCAGGAGAAGAGGGTTTTATTTTATTCGTGAACTGTTTGGGGGACCAAATTCTGGCAGAAATGGCACTAGCTTGTGGTCAACCATTAGGGATGAATAGGAACTTGGTTATTTAGTCCACAACTTACTTCTGAGTATGAACACTGAACACATAGCTCAGAGATCTCTGGTCTGACTTGGATAATTCCAGTAGAGAACTCATTACTGCACACAGCACCCTTGCTCCCTTATTAGAGTGTTCCAACTATATTAACAAAATTAATCTTTTTGTTCCCCAGCCCTGAAACTTGGACCTCTTCTAGTATTCTCAGTTCATCATCTGTCCAGTTGAGCACATCAGCTTCACTACTCTGCCACATCTCAGTTCCAACCCATCAGCATGTCCTGCTGAACTTGTCCTTTCCTGTGTGAGTTGCTCAGTCGTGTCTGACACTTTGCAACCCCATGGACTGTACAGTCCATGGAATCCTCCAGGCCAGAATACTTGAGTGGGTAGCCTTTCCCTTCTCCGGGGGGGGGGCGNTCCAGGGGATCTTCCCAACCCAGAGATCAAACCCAGGTCTCCTGCATTGCAGGTGGATTCTTTACCAACTGAGCTATCAGGGAAGCCATTCCTATGGCCACCATCCTAATCTAACTACAATCAATACCTTGTGCCCAGAGAATTGTAATACTGACTACCTGGTTTCCCAAGTATACTGCCCCCTCTCTTCACTCTGCATAGCCAAAGTTACAATGCTTAGTATCACACAACAATGGCTTCCTGTTGTTACAGCAGGCAGATAGCTAGGTATGGGCAGAGAATGGGGGCAGGGACCAGGTGGCAGGAAATCTTGCAACTCTTGTAAATAGCGGGGGTCCATGGGCAGACAAAGAAAAACAGGAACCTCCAGACTGACAGGAAACCACACCTTTGAGGTGATAAGTGTCCTGGAATCAGACAAAGAAAGGTGAGGAAAAGCGGGAATCTGCTGCATCCAACTGTAACCTTGTTCATTGTGTTCTTACAATAAAATTAGCCTTGCAGATAAGTACCAGTCATGCTCTGAAGTGATGAAACTTCTGATCTAAGCTAAAGGACAAAAATCCCTCCTCCCCTCAGGAAAATGGAGCTGGGATGAAAAATTGTATTCTAGGGAATACAATCCCTAAAAACTCCTTCCCCAGTGAATCTTCTGCCCCTTCATTTGTATGCCCCTCATAACCAGCTTGCCAAAGAAACACAGGGCTGCAGCTCCTCACCTGTTTGCCCTCTGAGAGCATCATTGTTCAGCAGCTGAGTTGCTTCCAACTCAGACCCAATGGACTGCAGCAAGCCAGGCTTCCCTGTCCATCACCAACTCCCAGAGCCTACTCAAACTCATGTCCTTTGCGTCATTGATGCCGTTCAACCATCTCATCCTCTGTCATCTCCTCTTCCCGCCTTCAATCTTGCCCAGCATCAGGGTCTTTTCCTATGAGTCAGTTCTTTGCATCAGGTGGCCAAAATATTGGAGTTTCAGCTTCAACATCAGTCCTTCTAATGAATATTCAGGACTGATTTCCTTCAGGATAGACTGGTTTGATCACCTTGCAGTCAGAGGGACTCTCTTCTCCAACACCACAGTTCAAAAGCATCAATTCTTTGGTGCTCAGCTTTCTTTATGGTCCAACTCTCATGTCCATACATGACTACTGGAAGAACCATAGCTTTGACTAAACAGACCTTTGTTGGTGTTTGTCTTCCACTATCTCCTGGAATTTGCTCACATTCATGTCCACTGAGTCTGTGATGCTATCTAGCTATCTCGTCTTCTGCCACTCCCTCCTCTTAAATAAGCTCTAACTTTCTTAACCTCCCTGCTTTATCTGTGAATTATTTTGCTGCAAAGAAAGAACCTTAAATTCACAGGGAATACTGTTTTTAGGATAAAATCTCAAACTTTTATCATGGCTTTCACAGCTATATAACATGAGCCTATTTAATACATAACTTCAGCTTCAACTCTCATATTCTTTCAAGGAATTGTGCCAGCTGCAGGTTTTTTTTCGAATCTTCAGAATGCCACACACTTTCCTCCAATGTGCCCATGATTCCCTCTGTGTATATATACTTTGTTCCTTAGCTAATTCATCTCAATTGACATCTCTTCTACATATATAAGTATTTAAAGAGAAAAATCACATGCCCAAATGGCATTAGTTTGATGAAGCCCATGATAGCAAAACTAGATTTAGTACTTGACCTAACTGCAGTTTCAACCTTTACCAGGAATTGATGTTAATTAACCAGTTTGGAAGTCTCAGACAACCATTTTGCCTTTTTGCATTTCTTTTTCTTGGGGATGGTCTTGATCACTGCCTCCTGTACAATGTCATGAATCTGCATTCATAGTTCTTCAAGCACTCTGTCTATCAGATCTAATCCCTTGAATCTATTTGTCACTTGCACTGTATAATCGTAAGGGATTTGATTTAGGTCATACATGAATAGTCTAGTGGTTTTCTCTACTTTCTTCAATTTAAGTCTGAATTTGGCAATAAGGAGTTCATGATCTGAGCCACAGTCAGCTACCGGTCTTGTTTTTGCTGAGGGCTTAAGAATCCTTAATTTTGAGTGTTAAGAAGCATCTTAGGGGCTGCCATGTTGAGGAAGATTAGAAAGAGTGCCTTTTGAGATGGATTCCCATGGCCTCCTTGTTTAGAAGATTGTTGGGGGCTGCCATGTTGAGAAGGATTTAACGGACTATGTTCGGGATGATTTGTGCTGCTGCCGTATTGAGAAGGTTCTGAGGTACCACAGTGTTGCGAAGGATTCTAAGGGGCTGCAGTGTTCACAAGGATTATGAGGGACCTGAATGTTGAAAAGAATCTTAGGAGCTGCTGTGCTTTAGAGGATACTAAGGGTCTGCCATGTTGAGAAGGATTTGAGGAGTTGCTGTGTTCAGAAGGATTCAGAGGGGCTGCCATGTTGAAAATGATTATGAGGGACTGCTGNGGAGATCAGTCCTGGGTGTTCATTGGAAGGACTGATGCTGAAGCTGAAACTCCAATACTTTGGCCACCTGATGCAAAGAACTGACTCATTTGAAACGGCCCTGATGCTGGGAAAGATTGAGGGTAGGAGGAGAAGGGGACAACAGAGGATGAGATGGTTGGATGACATCACCGACTCAATGGACATGAGTTTGGGTAAACTCCAGGAGTTGGTGATGGACAGAGAGGCCTGGCATGCTGCGGTTCATGGGGTCACAAAGAGTCGTACGCGACTGAGCGACTGAACTGAACTGAACAATTAAATATTTGTTTAATATTTGCCTCCCTTATTAAACTAAAAGATCCAAAAAGGCAGGACCATGTCTACTTTGGTACCATATTTTTTTCTAAGCTTAATTTAATGGTTGGAATATATTGGATTAGCCAAAACATTTGTTTGGACTCTTCCATAAGATGTTACAGAAATACTCAAGCAAACATTTTGGCCAACCCAATAGCATATGTGCAAAAAATAAGTGCTGAATTGAGTAACAGTGAATTGAAGCTACAGGTGGCTCAGTGGTAAAGAATCCGCCTACCAATGCAGGAGACACAGGTTTGATTCTTGGGTTGGAAAGATCCCCTGGAGGAGGAAATGGCAACCCACTCCAGTGTTCTTGCCTAGAGAATCCCATGGATAGAGGAGCCTGGCAGGCTACAGTCTATGGGGTTACAGAGCGTCAGATATGACTGAGCAACTCAGCACAAATTGAAGTCAGATTTTGGAAAAATAAATAAGAGACAAAGAGTGAAGATAACTAACATTTAGTGAGTGCAAGGTACTGGCCTAAATTCTCATAATACTCTTTATAATATTTATCTTATGAAGTATATAATTATCTCTAATTGACAGTTAAGGAACTGAAGAGAGAGTAAGCCATTTGCCCAGGTTCACATAGATGGTAAAGATCAGGATTCAAATCTAAGCAATCTGGCGCTGAACCCAAGATATAAGGTTGAAGTGAAAAAGTCAGTCATGTCTGACTCTTTGTAATCCCATGGACTATAGAGTCCATGGAATTCTTCAGGCCAGAATACTGGAGTAGGTAGCATTTCCCTTTTCCAGGGGATCTTCCCAACCCAGAGATCAAACCCAGGTCTCCAGCATTGCAGGCAGATCTTTTACCAGCTGAGCCACAAGGGAAGCCCAAGAATCCTGGAGTTGGTAGCCTATCCCTTCTCCAGCAGATCATCCCAACCTAGGAATTGAACCGGGGTCTCCTGCATTGCAGGTGGATTCTTTACCAACTGAGCTATCAGGAAAGCCCCAATATGAGGTTAGAACCCTAATATACGACAGGGTATAAGAATACACCATACAGGTGTCTGTACTGGAGAGGAGCTGATCTCAATTTTTTGAGTCCTAAATTTGAAAATCCTAGAGAAGGGGCTCATTGGCTTAGCTCAAGTCAGGTAGTCATTCCTAAGCCAACCAAGATCAGTGCAGTGGCCACCATCAGGACATGTAGATTCCATGCAGAGGGACAATTTCCAGGAGAAGGGGTCATGCCAGGAAGGAAATCTCATAGAGGGTACCCCATGTATTTCTTCCCATACATTCAATATTAGCAATTCCCTTGTCTAACATCATGCTCTTTCCCCACATAGAAAACAGATACCTTGCCTCCTCAATGAGAAACCATTTAAAGATATAACCAGCTACCGCATTCATCTCTGATTCCCAGAATCTCTGTTGATCATGTCTGGATATGATTTCACACAATTTTGCAACCTATGGGCTAAATCACAAATTTAATGACTGTCAAAAGAGAGCCACATTCTTTTGCAAAGATTCTAAAGTCAGCTCCTGCTGCTGAGTTTACCTTGAGCCAGAGATAAACTCCAAGATCCATATTAGGCAAAGTTTTCCCAGAGGCCACAAAGAAGAAAAGTTCACAGACCAAACTAAGAAGGTAAAAATCACAGTTTATCAAAAAAGTTTAAAACACGTAATGAGAAGTAAAGGAAAAGGTGTGGATGGACACACATTGGATAAGCTACAAACAGAGTGGAGGAACAACTCTACCTGAGCCTAAATTATACAAATTCATAGTCCTGTTTTTCCCTTGTGTCAGCTTTCCTATCTGGTGGTGGGGTTATGGGAATTGGAGTTGAGTCCGAGCAACGGGATCCCACAGGCTGAAGGTACATGGGGGCATCATATACACTTGTCTGTTGGAAAGATGCAAGGGCAAGTATATCAGGCAAAGACCTGTATCTCATCAGTTACCCTGGTGAGTAGCTGTGGTCTCATCTACATTTCTTGGGCAGATGACCAATGGGGCCAGAAAGGTATTATCTGTGGGTGGTTGATTTAAGGCCTCATAAATGTTGGATGCTTGTTGTACCTCATATATATTTACTGAATCATGAATGTTTGGTACATCTTGGT